CTTCAACGCAGGTACGTGGTGAACCAATCTTGTATCGCTCGTCTCTCTCTCTCTCTCTCTCTCTCTCTCTCTCTCTCTCTCTCTCTCTCTCTCTCTCTCTCTCTCGCCGTTGTCTTCTTACATGTAAGTGCGGCGTCCTTCTTCTTCCGCTGGTCAGCTATAGCGGACTTTTCTTGAACGGCTACGGCGTGTGGAATAGCGGGTACCAGCTCCGATGCCAATGCAATCAGACTCACTATCTTTCACACTTCACATGCATGTAAACAGGTTGCGCAACATACTGGCGACAAGCGCCCACACAAAACTCAGAGATATGGTAACCAAGAACGCAGTTCCGATACAAGTTCACTTCAAATGGCTATGGCGGCACAGCGCCTGTACAACTCTCTGTTCACACGCACAGGATTGCCGTGGATTATCCCACATGCATCCCACTGTACACACGCACACACACACATGCTACACCTTCCTATCAGCTATGGCGGCTATGTCCGCTGCTATCCCTATCGCTATGGCTAAGCTCCTTCTCGCCCACTTCGTCTTGGGGCTCACTGCAGACCACCTCGCACAAGTCGCTGTGGCAGCGCTTCCRCATGGCTTACGCAGGAATGAATGAATGGCTGGGCGCTGCCTCTTGATTTCTACTTCTGTATCTCGTCGGTCTGCCCCTTTCACATGCCTGTGGTGCACACAGTCCCATGCGGTACTTGCTTGACTGGACTAGGACGGACTGGGACTGGGACTGATCACTCAGCACGGGTGAACTCCACCACTTGCCCACTTGCCTCAGCCTAAACGTGAGCAGCTTCAAAAGGCCAGGACCAGGACCTTCCGGAAGTTTCAGTCCTGCCCTTTCGGATCCTGTAGCAGCTACGACCTTGACCTTTCAGGACTGCAGCAGCTACGACCTTGACCTTTCAGAGGTCCTACGGCTACGACTTGTAGGACCTGCTAAATCCTACAACCAACAGGTCTACAGCTCGAACCCCTACAACCTACAGACCTACGGCAGCCTACCAACTCCTGCGAATACACAGGTCACGGGTTCAACTCTCGGGGTCAACACAGATACTGTACACAGGTAAGGTGAGGACTAGAGATCGAGCCCTGGGATCTGCATCCGTTACTGCGAACAGGTGAATACCGTTTCAGGACCATCAAATCTCATTTGATATGTTGCGGGCTTACGCCTTTTCTCGAGGAAGACGGTCAAAAAGAAGAGAAACAGTTGGCAGTCAACGAAATGACTCTGTTGGCAGCCTCATATCTCAACAACGAGCAATACGCCAGGCTTGATGGTCGCACTAGCCGCCAGTGACACAGGGAATGTGTCATGACTCCTCAAGTTCACATAGCCACAACAAACCCTGGAGTGCATTCAAAAGACTTTCAGAAACCTAACAGAAGCTCAGCGAGCTCATGGACAAGTCAGTGACAGAAAATCAACAGCTTGCTGGGCATTCACTGGATGGGGGGGGGGGAAAGCAGACCGCGTGCCTCTGGTTCACGAGGCCAAACAAATTTTGCTCCCATGACGGCTTCGTGAAGATAAATCAAAGACATTCGATCAGGGCGAGTGGCGCTGCTGCTCACCAGAGTCACCACAATATTCCTGCACTGCTGCTCCTTTTTGCTGAAACACTAAATTGAGAGAGTTCGTAGTTAATCTGGCTGTTTAACTGCACATGGATGAATGTCTCGACTTTGACATCCAGAGGAATGTGCACGAACATGGACTCCATCCTCGCCGCAAGAGAAGCTTGGACCACTCGGCACCCATGCCATTGAGGCACAGACCCCGAGAGGAATGTAAACGAACATGGACTCCATCCTCGCCGCAAGAGAAGCTTGGACCACTCGGCACCCATGCCATTAAGGCACAGACCCCGAGAATCAGTTCTTAGACACGAAGCTGTTGGAAAGGGTATGGGTCCATATTGCGATCACACATCAACTACATTCCTCGATTGAAACACTGCTGCTCGCATAGCAGACCACATGAGGTTGTACAGAATGGGGTGAGAGGCCCTTCGAAGTTGCTTACATCACTGTTCAGCTCCACAACCAGGTCCCAAGAATTGACCTGGTGGTCCGCATCCCATTTTGCTGCATGTGTGAGTGTTCACAACTTCACATGGATACCTTCCCGGCGTCAGCCTTCAAAGTTCTACTTCGAATATGTGCCACTGCCACCGAGCTCTGCACAGAACCCGCTTCACTTAGGCTCGCACCCCAGGCTGTGAAGCAGGCAGCACGCTCTTCATTATACTCGCCACAAAGGCTGATAAAAAAGGGAAAAAGTAAACAAGCAGAGTTCAATTCCCGTCTTCCACAAGGAGAAACAGAAAGCACTTTTGATGCCCTCTAAAAGTCCTTACCGGTGCTCACGCCATGCAACAATGTCACCCAACGGTCCTGCTGCAAGCTGCTCTCCTCTTTCTGCAGCAGTCCAGAACACAGAATAACGAAACGGCTTCCATCAGAGAAAATGTAATCACACAACTTCCGCCGATTGCATATTGCTGCGAAGTCAACCGCTAACCGTGCTTCCAGAACCCAGACAACGGAAAGAAATTGTGCAAACTACAAACAAGTGCTAACTGAGAGATAACTCAAGTCCTTTTCTGGCATGATTAGAACGGGTCATCAGGCGAGAGGATGACTTTGGGAAAGAGAGGCATATGGCTGGACTCACCCAAGGGTCTAGGGCTCTATCAGACAGCCGCCCCAGGCCGACTGAGAGGGGTAACTCTGGTCTGTTCTGGCATTGTTTTGAAGGGGATATCAAGATGGTAGGGAAGGGTAGTCTGGCTGAGTAAGGTATGGGCATGCTGACACTCCATCCTTCCCATGGGAAGTAATCAATGCTCTCAGAATTCCCAGGGGCACGCCGGCCTAACGCTCCCCAGAACAGAAGGAGATGTGCCCACCTTCAACAGAAAATTGCAATGAACCACTTATATGCACACTCCAAGAATATGCATCATGAGATGGAGAGACCAGATTAGCGCAGCTCATAAACTTCAATGAATGATCATACTATACAGATTCTGAGTCACTGAGCACTCACCAGCGCAGCACCCACATATGTAACTCTCTTTCTCTCTCTTGGCTTACGTGGCACAACCTCGCTGCCTCAGTCTCCGTCTCTCTGCAACCTCAACCAAGTATGTAACTCTCTTTCTCTCTCTTGGCTTACGTGGCACAACCTCGCTGCCTCAGTCTCCCTCTCTCTGCAACCTCAACCAAGTATGTAACTCTCTTTCTCTCTCTTGGCTTACGTGGCACAACCTCGCTGCCTCTCTCTCTCTCTCTCTCTCTC